GCTATCAGGTTGGAGGCCATCGCTATCAGGTTGGAGGCCATCGCTATCAGGTTGGAGGCCATCGCTATCAGGTTGGAGGCCATCGCTATCAGGTTGGAGGCCATCGCTATCAGGTTGGAGGCCATTGCTATCAGGTTGCAGGACATTGCTATCAGGTTGGAGGCCATCGCTATCAGGTTGCAGGACATCGCTATCAGGTTGCAGGACATCACTATCAAGGATATCAAAGGAACATAAAACCAGGGCTTCACCGCAGTGCTTCACATCCTTCGGAAGCTCTCGTGGCGTTCGGTCCCCGGAGGTTCGGACGCGACGCCGAGCAAATCCTTCACCCCAGATACCTCCACCGACGGGGAATCTTATTCATGCTTCAATGTTAAGCAGTTAAGCGGCGAATGCTCGCAGCATTTCAAGTTTCCAAAGTGTGAAGTGTTTTTGCACCTGAGGAGATGTTTACAATTCTAGATCTGGCACATGTTTCCTGGGAGAAATGAATTCAAGCTACGTTCCGTTCCCGTGCCTGGGACTGCATTTGGACGTTCCGTGACGACGAAGCGCCGTTCGACCTGACCGTTCGACCTCGGACCCGTTCCGTCCGAGGTATCAGATGTCCAGAGAGTTTCTGTTGGAGCCCTGGACATGCATTTGGAGCGGCAGAAGAAAGCGTCTTACCGAGTCTTACCTGTTGAGTTTGCAAGAAGCTGTTGGAGCTTCATCCAGATGGCGGATGGCTACCTTTTGGATTTCTACTACTTGCCCTGGACAAGTGACGGACGCTGTTTTCTTGCAGCGCCACGAACGATTGATGGTGGAACATATGGGGTGCGCTATTTGATTATCAAGTTATAATAGTTGAATAGTATTTTCATGTATTTTGTATATGGAAAATTTATTATTGTCAATATGTTTTCTGGTGTATAGACATTGAGACCCCCGTGGGGCTATGACCTGAAATATTTGTTTGATTAGGTTTCCTACCGTTCGAAGTTGGTTTCGCATGTCTAAAGAGCCTGGGGGCCCAGCAGCGATGCGAGCAGCAAACCGCAGCCTGGGGATCACTGCCCCTATTGCACCGGAAGGCAAACCACTGGACAACACTCCCATAGAGAACTCACAACAAGGAAGAGCAGGGTTCAAAGGATTAAGTCGTGGAAGGTGAGAAGTGGGGGGCTTCTCAACCTGGTTTTTGTCAGGTTGAGCAGTGGTGCGTTGTGTTTTTGGTCTTGGATATTCTTGGATGATGTATGCACTCAACTTTTCTCAGGAATATTAGTATTGTATATGTTATTTATTGTTATCATGTGCAACCATCATGAAATAATACGCTGACTTTCAGTATTCTGCATGTGCAACCATAGCAGAATCATAATATTTGTGAAAACCTTCCAAGGGGTCTGCACGGGGGGGGGTATCCAAGTACCCCCCATATTGGAACGAGCCGATTTTTGTTCCGAAGGCACATGTCGAGGTCGAAGGCGACTTCGCAAACTTCGACGTCGTCAAACTTCTTTCCAATCGCGCAAAGGCCGAGTGCACCAGTTCCCTTTTGCCCTCTCCCGAACGCACTCTCAACCTTTCTCCCGTCAAGGCATATCACGGCTTGCGAAAACGGCCTCGGCGACCGCAGGCACCTGCGGAACCGGCTCCGAAAGGAACGGAGCTCACCGTGGTCGGTGCCACGCGTCGGCCTGAGGAGCAGTTCTCCCAGATGGTCGAAGAACCGTGGTTCAACGAGGCTGCGCAGAGGATCGAGCGCCTAGGCACTGAAGTTAGGCACTGAATTTCGTGTTTGTTTGTTGGCTCGTGTTTGGGCGCCATGGTGAACCCACCGCCGGCCGACTCCTTTTGTTCACCGACAGACTGTCAGTCTCAGTTTGATGGATGATCAAAGGCGCGGGTACGCAATCAGGTATCAGATGCTCACGTACAATGCCATGTTGAACCTCTACACCTTGGCAAAGCTAGAGTTCACCTTTGAGCTCGATGGGCGGATGATTCAGAGGCGCCGATCGTCTCGTCTCGTCTTGCTTCGACTGTTGGGACTCGGTTAAAACGACGCACGCACGCACTCAGCAGGTCCCTCGTAGCGTGCCACGCGGGAGTCGCGTGAGGTTTCAGCACGAGTCCTTCCAAGCAGAACCATATCTCTCGGTGTCTGGTCCGCAGTCGGAAGCCACGTCGTCTAGTCCGCGAGTCAGATTGCGCTTTCTTCTCTCTTCGTTTGAGGTGACGAGCTTGATACCAGACATCATGTTTTTGCTCGTGAGCTTGAGAAGTGTCTATGTGAACCTCAAGGAGGTGATTCCTGCAACTTGGACGTTTGGAAGACATTTATAGAACGAAGAAGCCATGGAAGAAAAAGACGAAACAAGGCTGAAACCAACAACGCTTCAATGATCTTTGGTGTCTCCGAAAGCACAGGGCTTGTGCCGGAACCGGCGGATGTGTCCAGGCAGTCATGCAGGGTTTGGATGGCCTTATCAACTACCTCAGCTTTTGGAAGGTCTCTTGGAGGTGTAGTTTCATCATGTTTCAAGGCGTCAATCCTTGGGTCCTCACATGTTTGATACAGCATGATACAGCTATCATTTTTCTGAGTCAATTTGATCATGGCTTTGGATGCGAAGGCTGGCAATGTGTTTCGATATGTTCGATGGCAGTTTCGAGGTGGTCGAATGGATCTCATTGCTTTTCGGAGTGGGATGCTTTGTGATGTGGAGCCGCAGCAGCAAGTGTCAAACTCCGCAAGGAACAGTAAAGGCTTGGAAGATAAAGAACCCAAACCGGAAGACGCCGGATTAAGCAATTGAGTTTAAGAAATAGACAGTGAAAGAAGCAGTAGGAATGAAGAAAGGCAGCGAAAGAAGCAGTCTTTACAAAGACCTGGCCTTCGACGGCTAAGAAGACCCGGGTGTTGTTTGATGCCAAGACCTGAGGGCTGGTCTGTGGTAGGAAGCAGACCTCATTTTTGTTGTGAGATTTATGCAGTTCTTCCAAGGATGACGGTGTACTCGCAAATCACAGCAGAGCTTCCTTTGGAAATCTCCAAGCTACCCAAGAGACACCTGGCTGGTAGAGACACCAAAAGCCTGTAGAGCTTTGTATTGAAGCAATGCGATTTCTTTCTTGATTGCTTTGTTCGAGAAACAGTAAGAGGATGTCAGTCCTTTGTCAATGCACAGTCACCTCCTGCGCGCGCACCATGTAGAATTCCAGCATGGACAGTCTGAGCGATCAAGACAGTCTGAGCGATCAGGTGGTTCCATTGTTTCGCCCACCCCAGGAGCATTCGATGAAGCTGTTCGCGCCAAGGGCGAATATCTCGATCTCAGCGAAATCTCGGAGCGGGGAACGTGCGTAACGTTCCCGCGACATGTTTCGAAACGAACAGGGGCGAAGACTTGGGCTGGACCCAAGATCCAAACGACTTAGTCAAGAATACCTGTGGTTTTCACGATGGGTCATCCTGGTTCAGTGTGGCGAATGTTCGTCACGCGGTTCGCGCTTCGGGACGGGTCCTGGGTCATGGACTGGTTGAACAAGAACATGTCGTTGGGCAGGTGGTGTTGGCAGGTGAACAAACGCCAACCTGACGAATAACTTGTTGGTTTTGGGGGACTGGGCATGTGTTGCAAGATCGTTTCATCACGAGTGGGGATTATTTTCATGACAAGTGGGTACCTGGTGGACTGCTGAAGAGCGTAGGTTCCTTTTTTTTTGTAGCATGACAGCCTAGTCAGAATGTTGATCCCTTGATCTTTGCAACCTCAAGCCAACCATGACAGGAAGTAAGCAACACTATGTATTACCTTTAGCATACTGATTTTGGAATTTGGATGGTGCAAAGTTGGCTGACACTCCCCTATCACATTGATGTGTTCAATGTGCACTCACTCCAATGCCTTTCGAAAAGGTCACGATGCTTGACCGCGGCAATCACCAGTTGAAGACCAAATCAACACGCGTGAGTAAGAGAAAAAGAGGTTTAAGTTTAAGGCTAACAGTCTCTGTGAAATGTGTTGCCACAATTCTTTGGCGCTGCTTTTAAAGCCATTCAGCCTAATGTGAATCTCTACGACTCTTTGCCTTCATGGCATATATTACATCTATCACAGCAATCTTTTATGCACTCCCCTTCTCCAAGAGTGATCTCTTCTTTGAGAAAGTACAAGCTTGCCTCGGCTTCACATTGTAGGCTTGGCTTGCCAGGACGGCAATTTACCTTAATCACATCTATTATCATAAGAAAACAGGAAAGTGCAGCATACATGTGTGCTTCCAACAGCTGACAAGTTGCTTCCTTCACAACTCTGCAGAACACATTGCCAGTCAAACTCCCATTGCTGAACGGACCAAAAATACAGCGCAGTATGTATTTGTGTTAAAACTGTCTTGCCAAACACGCCTCAGTATCCTGATTGTTCCTGCCTAAACGGAGGATTTTGATTCTGATTCGAATAGCCTCTCAATGTATCTGAATGTATTTGAAGAAGGAAGTCTCCCACAACCGGAAGAATTAGGTGGCTGCAGGCGAAATTTGACCCACTTGCGGCGAAATTATAGCTACTTGATATGGAACTACCTTCAGTGCTTCTCTCGCATCAATCCTAGGCCTAGGCCATAGCTGGGTGGTGTTGCGTTGTTGTTCTATGTTGTTCTTGGTGTTCGGTTCACTTTTTCATGTTCAATGTGTTGTTGGACTTTGGAAAGCAGTTCCAGAGAATCTCAGGCTGTCTGAAGAAGCAATGCCCTTTTTAGCTTTTGCTTGACAGGAGATAATGAGCATTAGAGAGATTACGGAAGTCTTGGACGACATCATGACAGTAGCTTGGATAATTTTCATCAAGTCCTTTGCAGTCATGCGTGTTGTCCCTGGTGCGGGACAAGATGCATAGTATGCATATCATGTGGATCTTCATACATCAGGCCCTGTGGTCTCTTCATGACCGTTCAGAAAGCATGCGGGAACAATCACGAGACGTTTCCAGGTTGGGAACAGCATCCGGGACAATCACGAGATTATGAGAAACATGTTTGCTCTGAACTTTGTAGCTGCTTGGATCTTGTGATGCTGTGAATTCCGGAGCGAAGAAAAGCATGTAGTAGATTGTAGTAGGTTGCTTGCAGGAAGTGTCAGAATTTCCGGGGATGTCATGGAACCCTATTTCGGGATGCCAGTAAGGTATTTGTTTGTGATTTGTGTTGCCCAAAACCCTACTGGCTTGGCAGAGGTTCCACCATTTTTCTCTGGGTGGGTGCACGATTTGAAGGGAACAGCAGGGCCTGGTGGCCCCAAACAAGCGAAAGAGCCGGCAAAACACGGAAAACTTGAACGCTTCCAGGCTTTGATTCTGCGCTTCTTCAAGTCCTTCACAACCAACCCGCGCTTGGACGTTGTGATTCAGACGATCGTCGACTGTACTCCCAACGTGGTGCTCTGGCTGCGATCCGTGACCCGCGTCGTTCACTGGTGACCCGCGTGCACGTCCCGGACGTCTGGTGCTACCCATCCACACACAGAACGTCGATGAGACTTCTCATGAGACTTCGTATCGAAAGCTGGAAGAAAACGATGGATGTGTGAGATCGGGTGGTTTATGTTTAATTCCATCAGTCGAATCCGTCGAATCAGTCAGTCGGTCTGCGGATGAGTGGGAATCGTTGTCCATCCGTGTGGTCCATGTCGAATGCTCAACACGACAAAAAGCTATTAGAATTAAAAAAAATAAACTAACTACTAGCTTCTTGTTACTACTAGTAAGGCACTTGTTACTAGTAGCGAGGCACTTGTTACTAGTAGCTTCTTGTTACTCAGTTGAGAATCTGAGGCCCACTTCTTCATTGTGTACTTTTCACTTTTTGTATCCTTTGCCTTCGCTGGTCATTTCCTCTTTGGCAGTTTCGTCGAAGGCTTGGTGGTTGATGGCTAAAAGAAATGAGCCAATCTAGATTTGAAGAATTAAGCATTGAATGCAGAAGAAGTAAATGAAGAAAAGGAAGAGAACGCGAAGAGAATGTGTATAAAAAGGCAACGTCTTGACGTCCAATGCAACAAGAAGGACGAACCCATTCCGCCGTGTGATTTGAACATTCGTTTGGAAGAAAACCGTTTTCAGGCTACTCCTCAGTCATTGCCTCACTCTTCACCCGGTACCGCAGTGCGATGACCTTTGAGATTTTGAATGAAATGCCTGTGGGGCATCAGGCAGGAGAACGGGAAACGGGAAACGGGACACCCTGGCACCGGTGGAATGGTGGAGTGCTTCGTTCGGCCGGTTTTTCGGCGAAAGCAACGAAAGATGGGACGAACGTTGATCGGTCCACGCTGTCGGGTCGGTTAGGTTGTTAGGGTGTTTTTTTTTTTCCACCTATGAGGTGGGCCTGCAGCCTGCAGCCTGTTCTCAATGTTGAAAACCGATTGATGGTTTCTCAACCTCGCTTTGTCCATTGTATGATCCTTCTTCCGCTTCTTCCTTATGTTCTTGTCCTTTTCTCTTTTCTCCGAACACTTAGTTTGTTTGTTTTACGCATGTTTTGGAACATATTTCCTGCCAGATACTGGCCTACACCTGGGAATCTCAGTTGCAGGGAGAGTTCTGTTTGAAAGGAGAGGGTGTGTAAGAGCATTAAGCCCTAAATGCACAGGAGTCGTTTGGCATGTTAACTTTCGCACGACCCGTGTAGATGTGCTAAGACACTGATGAAATTGAATTCGAAGACTCGTATCGCTGAAAGATGATGAAAGGGGGATGAGATGAGAAGTCGTGGATGAAAGGAGATCACCCAAGAAACACCGATCGTATCGCTCAGGTTTGGGCTTATGAGTTGCTGATGCCCTCATTGATTTTGAGTATGCTGTGCCTGGAAGCAAGTTCCGGTTCCGTTCGGCCTTGACCAACGTGCGTTTCTTCTTTTTGAGCGGTCGACGTGCCAATTTGCTGCATTGTAGCTTGCGCAAGAAGATGGTCAAGTTGAGACACCGAGACACGCGCACCATTTGAGGATTGGAATTGTGTTTGGCTCCTACTACGCAATCCAATCCAGAGCAGGCACTTGAGTGGAAGGAATGACGAAACCGAAACAGTGTGTATGTGAACAACACCTTGGACTCAGAGGTCGCCTTTCGGTGTTTCTTCGTTTGATTTGGCAGCTGTTTCCCTATAGCCATGCCGACGAAGCTATGGGACTCAGCCGGAAGGGAATGTGGACGCACATTCCAGTACCTGCAGTTTCCTCCTTTGAATCTAGAACAAGATTTTGGCCTTTGCAGCGGGTCTTCATCGGCAGAAATGCAGTTGGAGGACTCTGCAAAAACGGGGTTGTGGGGCCTTATGATATGTTTCGGCATTGGGGCTTGAGGTTTCCTTTCTTGCGCGCTGGACCTGACAGGATGCCCAGGATGTAGTCTCCTTCTGTCTTGATCAAAAGCACACACACACACTCACTCGGGAAATGCATATGGAAGTGATTGCGGCTTGCCGCATCCCAGCCTAAGAGAAAGAACCAAGAGTCCAGGGTGTATGAGGTAGGTGTTAAGTGGAGAGGAACCTCTCAACATGAAGGAAAGCCTTGAACCCTCAAAGGAAGTCCCATTTCGAACCTCAGTTTCCGATTCTGTATCAAGACGGACGTCACGCCGACCAGGGCTTTGTCAATGTGCAAGGCACTGAATCCTAGGTCCTAGAGTCCCAAAACAGAAGTGTCTCGGTTAGTAGCATGCATGTTCACTTTTACCGATACCCGCGTAAGTGTACACCGGTGGAAAAACCCTTTGTACTGCCTAAACTAAACCCTGGGGGTCTACTGCGCTTTTTGAACTTGCGAGATGGACAAAAAAGTTGTTTTCAGAGCATATAGGATGTGCAACACCAGGAGATAAATCCTGACCTGGCCTCTAAGTTGGAGAGGAGGGGGTGGGGGCTATGGATTTCATCGAATTGTATCCTATAAAAGTTGTTTTTGGGGTTGCGGGGGGGTCAGGGGTCAGGAGAAACATGTCACTGTTAAACAGTTATTTCTGGATGTTCCTGGAGGTAGGGGGTCAGGAAAAACATGCTCAGTGAATACATGACCCAAAACCTTTCTTGGTCATCCATCATCCCCTTGTTCCTCCCTCTAATATTTATCTAGCCAAATCTTTGAAATGTCTGAGAAGATTGAGAACATTTTGGGACTAAGGATTGACTAAGAAGAAGAAGGAGAGGGGGAACAAGAAGAGGGAAACACGAATCAGCACACTACGACCATTTGCTCTCACCAGTTGTTTGTCTCCCAGGGTTTTACAACAATGAAAATGATATTGTAACAACAAAGTTCAAAATACACAACATATTTTTTAGGGTTTAACATATTAGATTGCACTACCATCACTACCCATATTCAAGGCTGACAGTGGAGGACAAAAATGCAACACCATTCCAACCCCCCAAAGACTCGAGTCACACCACAAAAATCAGAAAATCTACAGTGAAACAATTTTTTGTCCAATAGGGCTGACCATGTCCATTGACATTCACCATCTGCAAGGATTGCACATCTGGACAAAAATCCACACTGCTAGGGGTAGACTTGTGATGAATGCCTGTAGTGCCCCCCAAAAACGGTCAGCATGTTAAAAAAACGTACGGGGGCCATTTTTTAGTAGGTTTTCGTGCCACAGTTGTTTCGCCCAACATTCCGCATCAGTTCACCGTGTTTTTCTTGTCACTGCATGCGGCAGTTGTTTGGCTGCGGGATAGTGGACAGGAGAAAAATGTCATTGTTAAAGAGTTGGTTCTCCCATGTTCTCCCTGTTCTTGGAGGTCGGGGGTTGGGATTTAATTTACAGGTCATTGCACTCTGTCCTGTATCTTCTTGGCTTACTGTGTTTGGTGATGAGCAACATTGGATAACAAGTCCCACTCATAGATAATTTCCGGTGTGAGGGCCTCCCCGTGCAGTCCACAAGGAGATTAAAAAAAACACGTGACAGCCTGTGGGTTGCCACCACACTGCTCCTGTCTTTCTTGGCCGGTGTCCCAGGCGACCCAGTGACACTTTGGACACAAGTTCGCAAAGCCGTGCAGACAGCGGCAGAGACCAGGAACTTCATGAGCTTGTGGAGTTTGCGACTTGGACCGCAAAAAGAAAGCGGCTGAGTAACGGCACGCCGTGACATCTGACGGGAACAGTGTTTCAGGCTCATGCGAAGTGTTTTTTCAATCCATGGTGCATGTCCTTCATTATCAAATGCATGCCTACGCAATCCTCTTTCAGCAGAGTCCCTGAAGTGTTGAAGTCTTTACCCACTGCCAGATAGCAAGATGACCCTAAAGAAAGCTAATTACTGACGTCCTGTTTGTTTTGCTGCACCAGTTGAGTGCTGCTCAGGATTGTTGCCTTGGAGGATGATGATGCTTGGAGCAACCCAATTTTGTGCAATGTGTGAAAAGCGCATGGGACGTCTCCTATCAGTTTTCCGTTTACCTGTCCTGAGACAGGGACATTGACAAAACGTCCAATCGTCTTTAGCAAACTCCATTCGCCAAGCTCGACTCTATTCGCCCTTTGCTGCTATGACTGGTATTCAGTTGCCAGTGTGTTTGTTGTTTCCTTGCTCCTATTGAATGTTTTGTTTCGCCTGGTTTGCTCCACTAGAACAATTTCTTTCACATGTTGCAGTTGTCTCGTGTCTAAGCCTCAGCAATTCATGGCAAGAAGTGTCAGCAGTTCAGAGGTCAAAACACGATATCCACCTGTGCACAAACATCATCAAACATCTAAAACGTTGGAACACTTGTTGATCTTACACGGAGCAAGAATTGGGATTCGCTCGCCAACTACGGCCAAACGTTGAGGAGCTTTGAACTGGCAAGTTCGAGACGGCTTCCAAGGACTATCCTGCGCACCCGCAGAAGATAGTCACCGCCAAGTCACTGAAGAAGGCCTTTGAAAAGGAGCGGATGACACGACAGTCGGGTCCTCAGTGCGCTGATTTGATTGGAAGAACAGTGCTTGGCGTTTTGCTAGGAATGCCGAATACTTGGTGCGAAAGACCGTGGAGTACATCAAGGTGCTTTCAATTTCTGAGCCGCTGCACCTTTCGGGTCCGAACGATACGACACCGAGTTCGCTGGTCGTCGGAGCCCGGAACTGGGTGGTTTCGGTCGTTTCTCGGACCGGCTGGATCGGAGAACACCGGACGCTCGGTCGCGCAATCGCATGGCTGGACGATTCGAGGTGAACCTCGATCAGCCCGTCCTGGATTTGCCGGATGCGGTCAAGATGATCGGAAACAGTCTCCTGGATGACAGCACGACATGGCCACGACTCTTCTGAATCGGCATCGAAAAGAATTCGATGGCACGATCTGAGGTTTCAACATCATGCAGTTCCTTGGATCACGCGTCAGTCGTCCGTTTCGTCCGTTTCCCCGGTGATGTCGTCCGTTTCACGTACAGAATGAGGAATAACTTCGAGTTAACTTTCTGCACTTCTTACTGGGCCGTGCCACTACCGGACTCCTTGCGCTCGTTTGCTTGCCATAACTGAGAGCGTCTCAGAGTTACTTTGAATGTCAGGAAGAACGAAGAGATCCTGGAACAGTCTGTCATTACCCCGCAGCAAGCCGATAAGAGTGCGCCCGACAGAGCTAGCACAAGCGCTTGTTGCAAGCGCTTCCTGGTGTGTCTTTTTTTTCCGCTGTGTTTGCACCATGAAGATCCATGCAGCTCATGCCAGATCCTGTTGGAATTCTTCATACCCCAGTCGAGGCTGGTGCTGGGCCATCCTGGTGTTTTTCTCGCTCATTTGATCGCCATTACTCTTCTTGTCGTACTTTCCAGGCCGAAACGTCCGACAACCCCCTGGATGTGCTGGAGAAAGGCTGGAAGTCTCCAACGTCGTCACCATCTCTTCATGGCGGAGTGGTGTGTCGATGTCACCAGGCATCTCCAATCTCACGGACTTGCTATCTGAGCTGCAGCAATCTCACGAGCCTTGGACACGATGTCAGTCCCGCACGTAGCGAACGACGCTACGAACGGGGCGCAGGAGCGCATTGCTTACGATAGGAACAAGTAACAAGGGCATCGCTACTAGCAGCAAGGACGCTACTATATAGAAGGAATTCCGTTGTCTTGGTGAGCCCTGACTTCTGCACATCCCCTGTGAAACCCTTGGTGGAACTCGAATGAGGCATCTGTGCTTGAGACCATGAAGACCAAGTTGGTTCAAGAACGGATGGTCACCTTGCAGCGTCAGCACAGGCCAGGCGGCCAGGCCGTTAACGACATCGGTACAGACGACAAATGACGACAAACCCGGTCGGACTTCGGACAGGCACGTTGGATGGGATAAACCGGACGGACAAAGGTTGTCAAGAGCGTGGACAGAAGCATGTTTCGACCAAACGCCCAGTTACAGAGCGGTTCATGAAGTCCTGGCTATGAAGTCACGGTTCTTTCGTCATGTGCATCAGGTTAAGGGGACTCCTGGATGAGTTCAAGAGTCGAGTGGTGCGTGCACAACGTGGCATTGGCCGGCTCAAGAGCTTTGTAGGCCAGTATTGAAGGTACCAGCAATGGCCTCCAACCTCAAAGCGATGGCCTCACCTAAGAGCAATGGCCTCCAACCTAAAAGCGACGGCCTCGAACCTAAGAGCGACGGCCTCGAACCTAAGACCGATCGCCTCCAACCTAAGAGCGATGGCCTCCAGCCTAAGAGCGATGGCCTCCAACAGAAGAGCGGTGGCCTCCAACCTAAGAGCTTCTGTTTTTATTTTTACTTTGCTTCTTTGCGTGCATTGTTGTGTTTAGTTTCTAGATGTTTCTAGCGAACTTCTGAAATTCAGTGTTTGTGCATTGAGGTACGCATGTAACTAGGCCGCTTTGCTTGTTCACTTTGACAAGCACTTCTAATCAATCTACAGGGTCTAGCATGATGTCATGAAGACCGATACTTTTCTATTGCTACACTTATGAACGAAGCAACAGCCATGGTAGCCTTCTTGTTTTATCTTGTTTTTTTTGTGTGTTTTTTTGGTCAGATACGGCAGACTTCGGCAGCATTGCGCACGTTCCAGAGCAACTAGAAAATGCAGCTGGGCTAAAGTTGCTCTGGGCAATACAAGTCTAATATAATAAGTTTCTTTGACTTTTGGGATGCTTTCTTGAACTTCAGGCGCAACTCCCACATCTTCCTGTCAGCGAACATGGTCTGAAACAGTCGGAAAGAAACAACTAGTAGCAGAGTCCGCCCGTTCTTTTTTTCAGGTAGCAAGTTGCTTCAATTCCACCGAATCTATCAAGACTATAGAAGAATCGCATGGGCCTTTTTGGGAAGCTCACAACCAGACCAGATGAGATGTGTCCGTTAGTCGTGTTAATGATTTGCTGTGATTCCTAGGATTTGATGAGATGCTTTGGCTCCCGGCCAGCACTTGCAAGGGAAGGCTTGCAGCCCAGCCAGGCAAGTCCGACGTATTTTTCACAGATTTCGCGGATTTTGTCTAGACACTATGAGACTATGTCTTCGCCTTCGCGTTGATGTCGACAGGTGAATCATTTGGAACGCCAGTGTCAAGAGCTTCTGGGCCAGCTCAATGTGCCATGGCCAAACCGAAAACAAGAAGCTTTCCTCAAAAGTTCCAGAAAGAGAAATGCCAAACTGCTACTTTGTGGAACAGCCCATGAGAAAGCCGACAAGTGACACTTTCCGGATCCAAACAGCGCGGATCGACGACGACAGCTTCCAGATCGCCCAGGAATTGGCGGGGGAATTCAAAAGCCTGGTGGATGGCCAACCAACAATCTGGGAGCTTTGGTCCAAATGTTCCAGCCTCAGATGCAGATTGCCACCATCATATACCAAATGCATCCAAATGGGGTGTATGTGTGTGTGTGTGTGTCAACCCCTGGTTCTAAGGGTTTCCCCACTTTCACCACTTTTCCACAGGCAGGGGGATCAGGGACGTCTGGCTTGGCCTGATCCAACGAAGCTCCAGCCATTCGTCAGGATATTCTCGAGGGACGCCTTGAGAACGTACCTGCAAAGTGCTTCACAAGCTGTTACCCTCCTTTTCCGCTTTTTGATTCATGGTGGTTTCGCATGATACCTTCCCCGCAAACACGTTTCCCCCCGCACTCTTCAGCAACTTGTGCACTGCATTTCAGGCGCGTGAGAGAAACATGTGTTAAACAATACAAGTCATCGACCCTTTCGCCTTGCTGTTCCCTCACCATTCTTCCCATCGTGGCAATTGAGTCTAAAAGAAAACCCAAGTTCGAAGTGTGGACCGCTCAGTCTTCCCACATGGGTACTGGGTGTGAACCTCCGAAAGGAGGCGCCGACGCCATTCCGGATTTCATCGTTCCTGCTTGTGTATAACTGATCTTTTGTTCCTTCATTTTATCTCTGAATTTCCTGATTTTCGAGCCGCCGGGCTATAAACGAAGGACTTTATCGTGATTACCCGACTTACTTGGTTCTGCACTGTCATGACGTTGTTCATTGCAATTCCCAATTTTTAACCCGCAGCCATTTGATCGAAGATCAACGTACACTTGCTCACATTCCCGAGATTCCACTGCATGCCGAGATTTCACCGAATTAATTTTTTCACAGCACACGTTTTCAGATTCCAGAATTCACTGCCATTTTCAATTCTCTCACCTCCGCTGCTGGGCCGCGCCGGCGCCATTGTTCGCAGCCTTTTGGATTGACCTCTCCATCGCTGGTCCTATGCAGTTTCCCTGGCCGTATCCACAATGGCCACCACCGTGTACCGCATCCACAATACCCACTGTCAGCACTCAACCAACACCATGGCACCATTCTCTACCACCGGCACCTGTCCCCACTGTTCTAGCTCATCCAACACAACCGTCACTCCTCCCTCACCTTCAGACCGCTCCACCACAACTGCCACCTCCTACGTGGCCACATCCCATGCCAACACATCCTCCACTGGCACCAACTTTTGTACCTCACACACATGCATATCCAGCACCACCTCAGATGCAGACATTTGAAACCATGCCAGCACAACCTTTCCACCACCCACCCTCTATGCAACAGGCATCACCAGCCCCATCGGCTCCACCAGCTCCGCAAGCACCTCAACCACAACCACATATCCAGCAAGCTCCTGTTCATGGAGACCACCTTCAAGGCGTTTGGCAGCCATACTCTCTCTTTTTCCACCCGTTGCTCACCCATCGCCACATCAAGCATCAGCCCCACTTCTGCTCCAACACCCCCCGCGGGGGCACCCACGCCGCCCGCTTCGGACGTTCCGAACGTCCCCCCACCAGCCGATCAGGCCGCCGCTGCCACAACCGCTACGCCACCCTCCACGTCGCCAGCCATTCACTTTGCTCCACCGCCAGCCACTGTTCCACCACTACCGCCACCACCACTGTCCCCAACGCAAGCACCTTCAATCCCCAGCCTCACAAGCAACCTCTCGAGGCTGCCCCCATCCGCTCAGGCACATCTCTCACAACACCGGCCTCTCATGCAACCACTGGCCGCACCAACCGCAGCAGATCCCGTAGCCGACGCCGTCGCCGCCGCCACACAGTCGCCATACACGTGCTAAGCACGCCAGACGTCATCGCTCCCCTGCAGCCTCCACTGCTAAAGCGTCATCGACACGCCGCCGGCGTCGCCGTTCCCCTTCAACCTCATACACCACATCTTCGCATAGCCGTTCCCGCAGCCGCTCCCATGCACCCATCACCCTCCGACCTAATCAGCAGTCTACACCTCAGCACCACATCGCAAACATGTTCCAAGCAGAATTCCCCAACATTCCAGCAATACGACGGCCCCATCCGCCCTGGAAGCCACACCCACCACATTTCCATCGGCTCCCCCACCAAGAACAGATTGCATGGTGGCTTGACTTTCACGCTACACAATTGGAAGCAGAAAACAAACCAAAACACGCATACGTAGCCAAAATGCTCGCTGACATCGGCTACACCATCGATGATTTGGCAGATTTCCGTCAACTCAACCATGTGAAGTGGAATGACACCACCAATACTTATGACACCTTTTCCTACCACTGTATCAACATTCCCAGTTTGGTCGACAAGGCCAAACGCCCAACACCACCGCCTGCCACCCGTGCCACCTCCACTACCCCAGAGACAGTGCACATCAACGCCGGCCACACAGGCCCCCACGGCAACGTCACCGCCATTCTACAACAGGGCCGTTTCCTGCCCAGCACCCTTCACTTTGACGCCAACCCGGGTTTCTTTGCCCAAGCCACACGCATTACTCACCAGTAAATCCACGACAACTACGAACAGGCCCGCGTACTCCATAATACGTGGAACCTGGCAAAGAACATCCATTCTATCATGGTCCATCTCCTCGCCTGGGGTCGAGGGACCAAATTTACCAGTGGCGGCGAAGCCCAAGCCATGCACCTATTGCAACAAGACCATGGCGCTGTTTGCCACTCAAAAGCCCGATGCTGGGTGATTCACCCCCATAACGCCATAGTCAAAGGACTGGCGTGGTCTATCAATGCAACACCTCCGGACCTTTGAGGTTCCGCCACCTACCACAGACCTACCCACTTTCTTCAACACCAATACCAACTCCACGCATTTGAGAGACGCCCTTCCGCGAGTTTCACATTTGCCACCAATTCCAGCTTTGCAAAATCCGAGCTCCAGCTTTTATCATTGCATTATGCTCACATGCATTGCACTTTACTCTCGTTGTACATAGTTTGCACTTGCTCTAATCGGCAGCCAGCTTTGATGCTCATTTGTTTTTGATCAATTTTCGTGCATGATCGCTCAGTTTCCTTTCAGGTTTACGAATTGCGGAATTTGGTGGACAAATTTCTTTTCATGCAAGGACGAACTACTACTTTTTGTTTTTTGTTTCTTTTTCTTTTCAGGCAGTACTGTTTGAGCCACCCACTATGTATCTCTACCTGCCCTTCAAACTTCGGGCTCAATAATTCATTTTCGTAATTCAATTGCATGCTTCGCATGTCTGCGCCGGCCGCTCATGCAGTGCTGACACCTGCGCTGCGCCATCTGCTGCTCCAGCATACCACTTCAGCTGCCTGACCTCGACGCTGCCCCTCAAGATGCAGTCTCATGCCGACCAGGCTCGACTTATCCATCGAACTACGATTGCTCTCAATCAGCTTCATCGTATACTCCAGCAAGCGACTGACATCCTGGCCAACTTACACAGCCTCTATCTTGTCCACACACAGCAGGTCGACCCCCACTTTCACCGACCTTTTCCGGCCCTCCCTCCAGCTCCCCTTACAGCAGTTCCTATTCCTTCCCCCACTTCCTCCTGTGATTCGGCTCCTGTGGCCCCCATGCATCCAACATGCACCACCACAGCGTGCCTCTTCACAAGCATCCTCAACCTCCACCTCTCCACCAGCGCTGCCACAACCCAAGAAGAAACGCGAACCTCCACCACCCCTCAACGAAGATGCTGACTGGGACGCTTGGGATGGCGACGCTGAAGTTCGCCTTGTGGAACTCAAGACAGACACCCGCCTGCGACCGAATTGGAATTATGTTGCTCGTCGGGTGGGCTTCTCAATTGAACAGTGCAAAGCACGCTGGGAAGAACTTCAAGAAGCACAACGCCAACAACAAGCCGGCATTCCACCGCCCTCACCTCCTTCACCCGTCCACACTCCACCACCTCTTTCCCCTGTCCCTTCACCTCCCTCCGCAGCAGCAATCCCACCACCGGCAACCCCTTCAGCTCCTGATTTCTCGTACACTCCAACAACACCTCCATCACCTCCACCGGCTGCCGCCGCCATAGCCGATGCTATGCCAGCCAACATCAGTGAGGTCATCCGGAACCAGCAGCAGCTGATATTGGTAGCTATTTTGTTTAGTTTCCGTTTCACCCAGCTCCCCTCGACGCGCCTGTCGTAAACAACTTCCTTGCGCAACTCAACCATTGCGCGCAGGCCCTTGAGTTTCTGCCCTGTTTCCTTGTTATTCATTAAAACCCAATCAATCTTTCCAGCCATGTCACGACATTGCACAGCTGACTACCGCAATTTTGAGTTTTCCGCGATTTGATCGTCAGTCCACCTCCTACTACCGCAGCCATTTTCAACCTCTCGACTGCTTTGAGTGTACAGATCGGTTTTCGTTCATCATGGCCCCAGCTGACGTCGGACCGCCTCGCGCCCCGCGGTCCCCATCTGCAGAGCAGATTTCAGCCACTGAGACACACTTTCTTCCAGACAACCCTCCTCCACACCTGATTCCTTCACTTACCCACCAACCTGAACTTCTCTACATGCAAGGCCTTCTCGACAGCCTGGCCAACGTGGTTACCCAGATCCTCAATCACCCCATGATTGACAGTCCCGTACCAGACCACACTCTCTTCACCGATGCCGATGCTTTTCGGCTGTACTTTCAGTACCACCAGAGTGTCACTGAGTTAGCCAGGATTGCCATGCGCCTCAAACGCGCCAGCCGATTACTTCAATTTCTACCAGGGCCTCCACGCCATCCAGGCAGCTGCCGTGTCAACCCTTCAGCGCACTTTCCACCTGACACCACTGATTTCCTGACCGATGACGTGCCCACTTTCTGTCCACCTCCCAATCGGCACCACCGTCATCGACCCAATCGCCATCGTCAGCCTGAACCTTATCGCTCTGCAGCCAGAGACCGCTCACGGTCCAGGGAGAGCCCACCATTCTAGCCACAGCACCATTTTCTCTCACCTGCACTGCTCATTCACACTGTCGTCACATCTTTGGTGAATGTCATTTTATCACATGTCAGCTTCCGCAGCCGTTTTGTTG